CCTAAGTGGAACAATTAACTTTTCGTATCTAAAAAATTAATCCAACCAAACCCTATACATTTTTTGACGTTTTGTTTATTTTACCATGTTTTTCTACTTCTTAGGTTTACCAGATTTTGACATTTAGACATTTTTTGCAAAAATAATCTTTCATTCTTGAAAAATCTATAGCAGCAAGTCAAAAGATCATCACAATTTGACCTCTTAACAATCAGTTAATGACACAAAATAAAAAAATTAGAATGTGACTTAGTCCCTATTGTCTTTTGTTGAATGCTTGCATCACTTTTTAAGGTAGTCATTAGCAGGAACATTGAGTTATTTTGTTGATGAGGTATACTAAAGCTCCTGCTAGAGTTGCACCTTGCCTCTTTCATATTTTCCTTTGATAGAAATCCTTCTGCAGCTCTTCATCTAGAGATACTCAGAGCTCCTTTTAAACTAACTCCATTTCTCTCTTTTTGCCTCATTTCAAATGCTTTATTGAGAGTTTATTTTTCTCATTTCCATGTCTCTTTTTGTCAATATGTTTTTGAGAGGTTTATAAAATACAATAGTGCTTGCAGTCTTGCCTGAAGTCATGACACTGATGCCTACACAAACAAAAAGTAGGAGAAAAATGGAAGCTTCTGAATTTGCCACATAGAACACTACAGATATATTTTCAGTCACCTATAATAACATTTTAAGGCAAAAGTTCAAGAAATGCCTTGGATTTTCACCTGTTTCATGCACCACAAAACTCAGTATTTGTTATTCCTCCCAAAGGCAACACTACATTTCCCGGGCTTTCAGCTCAGCAGGTTTACAGTTGAACTGCCTTTTGGCAGTGCTGTATTTCATGATATAGTTAATGCTTCACTTCAGAGCTGTACAAAGCCCAAAACTGAACACAAACTGATTAAGAAAAATTGCTTTAGGTTTATATTTTCTCTGTTACCACAAGATATAAAATGTCCCTCAGATGTAGAATCCCGGTCGCATGCCAGAAGTGGCACTTAATCTGGTTAAGTAGAGCAAGAAATTTCATCTGCTGAAATAGTTGCCTGCTGTTACTGTCCTCTGCTCTCTTCCTACCTGCATGGTGCCTTAACATGCTGCTGTGAAGCTTAAGTGCAGCCCTTATCTGTTGATAGTCAGAGACATCCAGACTCTTGTGCACTCAGAGCAACACAGCCAGCACAAAGTGAAGACGAGTAAGGCTGTTGTTTATGAGTTGAGATTGTCCATAAAGGGAAATGAAGTGTGATCCAGCCTACTCTTCCTTGCACTGGTCCACCTCTACTTGAAGCCTTACCAGGAGCAACCTCTAGTGCAGAGGGGATCAGTGTATCAGCACAAATTGCTGCACTGGCACAAGTAAACCTAACAGAAACCAGAACCTGGGGAAGTACCAATAAATATCAATGAAAAATAACATCAGATAAAAATTTAGAAAGAAGAACCTAAATCTCAGATCTGTTGCATAATGTGGCCCACACTGTATTTTGGAACTGATTCTTCAGGCAGGAATATTTGAATCGCTTCCCAAACGTTCACTTGCTAAGATAGAGAAGCAAATTTCAGAACTGCTAAGACCTCTGACTTAAGGTGCAAATAAATATTTGAAAATCAGCAAACAAAAATTAATTGGTGCTGAAACAAATGTTGGGTAAAAGAATTTTAGAGTAGCTTATTTCCTAGTACTGTTGATGCAGAGCAACAAAAGCTGTAGGAACTTTCAGGAAGGAAATTAAAAGTAGTCAGAATTTTTGCTATATTAATGCCATGACTGTTTTGCTTTCCTCTCAGCACAGCATGATACATGGTTCAATTAAATTAAGTGATGACTTATAGCTAGCTCATTGTATCTCTTTCAAGGCACTATTTCACTTAACCATCCCTGTATTCTGTAGAAAAAAAAAATCCTTTCATGAAATAAAAAGTTAAACAGATAATTCATAAGTCCTATTCCTGGGTGGTCTCCCCTCTGTACCCATGTACTAAGCCTTTCCTGATGGTAGACACCACATAAACTACTAGATAAATAAGTCTAAGTCTGTGTTATATCTCATGCATTTGACTGTCTTTAATATGAAAAGATGCTGTAGTTGTACCTTGCAACAAATATAGAAATATTTATTTCAGTGCAGAAAATTCAGTGAATGAAATGAAATGAAAATGAAAAATGAAATTTTCTAAATGAAAGTCCATAATGTCTGAGTTTATTTAGAAATTAAGTCATTTGCCTGCAAAAATTCACAATGTGCTGAGGACCTAAAATAATTAATAGGCTGTTCCCTGTATAATCGTAAATTTTCTTTATTTGAAAGTAAAAATTATTACTATTTTTGTTTATGAGTAATGAGTACAGTATTTCTTTTGGATCTAAAATCAAACTGCAGTACCATATCCTAGTTCTTCATAGAAAATAAACCCTTTGCAAACTACTATATACACACCAGTTATTAGAGGTCTGTTGCAAAAGAACATTTCCATTTAGGAACTTGCAAGTGATCAGTCCTTATCCTGCTCATGTCTGTTCAGAAGGAATTTGTTTTGGTAAGGATTATAGTGTGGGAATAGTATCTTGTGTTCTTGAAATCCTTTAGAATGGCTAGTTATATGGATAAGCTGTTTTCTGACATTTTGCTTTTGACATCAATACAATCCTTTCCCTGACTTCAGTAGAGGTGTTATAAAAAGGGATGAGCTCAACTTTCCTTAAGTCATTTTGCTGAATATTTTTCAGAGATCTACAATATGGATAACAGGCAAAAAATTTGTCTAATTTTAAAATTTTCAGTGGCTATCAGCATACATTATAAAGCAGAAATGCATATGGTGTTATGATTATGTTGCTGGTTTTGAGTTACTCAAAGGAAACAAAAGAATTCTGAAAACCCCATAAATTGCAAATCAAGATATTTTGATGATGACAGGTCTGCTACAAAAGATATTAATGCAAATATTTATCATAAATTAATGATAATATATATTTTTTAAATGACAATAACATTCATAGCTGGAACTTTTCTCTACTTTCTCTCAAAAAATAATGTTACATGTTTAGAAATTTAATATGATAAGTGTTTTATTTTAAGATCTGTGTATTTCCATTTGGCAGAACCCCAGTTCCTCCACTTCTACTGTTTCTCCCCCAGCTTAATTCCCTTTTTGTATTACTAAGGAAAGTATTAAAATTATAATTCTGAATTACAATCTGGTTTTGTCCACTTTTCTTTTTAAAAAAGTTTTTTATTGCGTTTCTGTTCCATAATGATACAGAGCTGTAAGAATTAGGTCTATTCTGCATGGGTGAATGTGAAGGAGTATCAGCAAACACCCAGAATTATTTTATGGGGTGTTACAGGGTGTGTTATGGGAATAAACCAAAGCCTTTGGATGAAGAAATGGGTTCATTAAACACGGAGTGCTAAAGCTGGGCAGTAAAGGACTTGTGTTGTGAATGCACCAGTGACTGCGTTTGATTGCAAGTGGGCATAGTGGGCATGTCCCTGTCAGGATATGGGAGCCAGGGGTTTATCCTCCCCACAGAGCTGCTGGCCAGCTGCCTGCCACGCCAACAGCAGGGCCCCAGGGAGCTCCAAATAGCTGTATATACAGCCTGGAAATTTGGGGCAGGCAGGAGAGAGGGAGGAAACATTCCTGTGAGCTCTTCTTTAGGAGAGAAGCTGTGAACCTCTTTTGACTACAAAATGATGGAAAATAGTACAGTGAGAAAATAGTAAAAAAGGGGAGTTGTTAATGAACTTAATGTAGGCCATGTAGCTGCTTCATTCCATATGCACATTGGATATTTCTGCCTTTCCTTCTACATGTCTGTCAACAGAAATCACTTTTGCCTTTGCACTTTTCACTTTGCTTTTGTGCAGATCCCTTCTTCTGGAAATTCAGAAATTGGAGAGAGTGCAGATTATTCCTTTGTGGAAAAGGTAAAGAATGGTTTCATTCAGAGGATATCCCTTCATTTCCCAGTGTTTTTACAGGTGCTAATTCCAGCCCAATCCAAGCAAGCCAATGAGTGTTCATATCTCTTAAATATATACTTGAGTAGGTATTCATTAGTAATATAACAGTTTGTGATTGGCTATGCAGTGATTTTGGTTAAACTAAGTTAGGGAGTCTTTTATAAGACATTGTGAAATGAAGAATTCAATCACTATCGTGACAATTAATTACTCACAATATTGAAATCTGTGCTATTTTTTTAATTTGACAGCGTCTGGTTTTGATTTCCTGTCCCTTTCCCTGTTACAATCAAATTAATCACACTTGAGGTAGGATCAGGATACTTAGGAGAGATGGTGATCCAGACACTTGATCTATTTGGGGATAATGCAAGCACATTACTTTTTGTAGCTCCCTTTTCTGCTTTTTCCACAGGTTTATATCCATTTTAAAATCTGCTCCCACCACTACAATATAAGTTATATCAGTGTCATATATAAAGGTAAACATTGAGTTATTTCCTGTTTAAACATCCAAATATGAGTTTTTCCTTTTGAACACTGTTCAGAAAGTTCAGTTATTTGTCCAAATTATGTCCTGAAATTAATTTAAAAGCTGCTTATTTTCACGTTTCAATCCTCACACTCATAAGAATTGCCAGTGTTCTGTGTTTCAGGGCAATAAATACAAATACTTTTAATATGACCATGAATATACTTAATTGTAAGTACTAAAATACATTTTTTCAACTTTGAAGGACACGTTTGGTAAATGATGTCACACAATGTAGTATGTCTTGTATTATAATCTACTAAATCTGCCTAAGAGCAGCATTATGAAGGTGTTCTCTCCAATTTTGTTCTAAAACATAAGAAAAAGAATTCTGTGATATATTTTAAAGATCAAAAAAGTGTTCACTTTTGAGACTTCCATCACCAAGAAGTAGTGGAAGTACTACAAGGTGAATGCAGCAGGTGGTGGTGCTCTGTTGCCATGTTCTGTGTCATTCATGCATGTTGTTTGGTTGTATATTTTATTGCTGGTTACAGAACACATCTGAAAGTGACAATGATGAAGTTGATGGCAACAATATATGTGGTTTCAGAAGGAAAAAGGGAATCAAAGGTCCTACAAAGTATGTTCCTCCTTTAGAAAATGAGAAGATGGAGCTGTCCCACACCTCAAAAATCCCAGATCCTTGTCCTCTTAAAGGAACCACTGGTTGCTCAGAGCTGCCATCAGAGCAGTCTCTCCAAAACCCCACTGCCTTTCCTGCAGCACAAAAGGACGGAGGAGGTCACGACAATTCCAATTCTGGCAGCGATGGTAAAGAAGACAGGTGTGGAGAAACACGACAAACCCAGGAAAATGCTGATACTGGGAAAAGAATACTGGGAAAAATGCATGAGGAAACAGATACAGCAGCTCAGATGAAGCTGCCCACAGGTGTGCAGGCTGTGAGGAGTGCAGAGAAAGGTGGCTGCACGGAGGCAGCGTGGAGGGAGAAGCACAGTGAGCAGGCAGGGGGGAAGCCAGAAGAACGGGGTGGGATGGAAGAAAACATTGTCAAGTTTCATGTGACAAAGATGGGCTCCCTGGGAAGTGCTACATCCATGCCAGGGAGCCAAACTGGCGAGTCCTTCAAGGGGGCATCTGGCATTTCTAAACGAAGTCTACAAGAGTTGAAAAACCTGCTGAGTGAAGGTCATCTGCCTTCTCATGCGCCCAATTTCTGTGTTAAGGCAGGCAGCACTTTTGCTCAGAAAAATCTGAAACCCTGGGAGAAAGCAACTGACAAGCAGGGCCGGCCCTTTGAGACTTTTAGTCCCCATTTTGGAGACAAAAAGCAAAAATATCTCAGCTTCCCCAAGGAGGGAGTGGGGCAGCAGAGCAAAACTGTCCTGGTCCTCAGCTCTGCCGGCTCTGATCAGCAGCAACCAGTGCGAAGCGATGTGGATCACCTTATTCTGGGACTTCCAGCAGCTCCTGTACCTGCAAACAGCACAGCTCCTGAGGTACAGTTTGACTCCTCCACAGGCCTCGACGGTAAGGATACTTAAACATCACCTTAAAGAAAATGCTCCTGTTGTTTTGTGGTGTTTTGCTAAGCTGCAAATTTAAGTCAGAGCTAGTGCAAGAGAGAACTGATACCTGTGGTTTCTGTGTGATCAGGATGGATTGGATATTGTTCTCTACATCTATGCTGCTTTTTATTCTTTTTTTTAAGCAAGGCATTTATAAAGCCCAACCACCTGCCAAAAACTTTCATGCACAAGTGGTCATGTCTTTTTCACTAAAATGGAAATATTTCCTCATTTAAACTGAGTGCAGACAGCATTTCCCAAAATTCTGCTACATACTGCAAAGCTCTGATGGCATCTGCACTTCTTAAAGTTTCTTTTTAAAAAAAAAAAAACATTTCCAGCAGTAGAAATTGTTCCCATGTAGGAATGGTGTTCTCAATTACTTGTCTTGTGAGAGGATTGGAATGCAAAAAACATCTCTTGTAAATTATAGGGGCAGAAAAGCAAATGAGGCAGAGAGAACTTCCACTTATTTTCATGTTGTTCAGTAAGTCCATTTTGGAAGTGTTTTTAGAGACAATTAATTGCTACTAATAGGCTGTGATTTCTTTGTAAAAGCTTCTGGGCTAGCTGGATCAACAAACTGAATACTATTATTAGCTGTGATAATGTAATGGGTTTGAACAGTTTGTTGCTCTGTTTCCAGGAAGAACAAAAACACCAGTTTGTCAGTTGTATGAGCATGAGATTAATACATTTCCATGAGCATCAGTCCAAGATCACATTATCAGCTTTCCAGGACAGATATCTTGCTTTTGACTTATCTTGCTAATACAAGAAATATGCATCTCTTCATTGATAAAATATTTTATCCAATTTAACTATGTAAGAAAATATAATCATAGCAATTAAATATTTACAATAATATTAATTTATCCTGCTGTTTTTCAAGTCTCCTGACAGATGGATAGAAACCATGCTATAGTTATTCTGAAAACAGACAATTTGAACATGTCAATTGTTATTAGATGCAACAGGATTTCTTGGTAGACATTTTGTACTAACAAGTTTGAACAAGCCTGAAAAAGAAATCCATGAACAGCATCAGTGTTTACTCAAGGCACTGCATGAGAAATACAAAGTTTGAAAAGATACTTCACACTTGAACCACTCTCTATTCATGTCTAATAGAATAAAAAGTTTAGAGGATTATTTTTCAGCCTATCCTTGATGCTTTTCCCTTTCCAGACTACATTGTTTTTCACACTGTTGAAGGCTAGAAAAATACATTATTAAAATATTAACACTACGGTATTCTCATTGTCTGCAAAACCAGCAAGTATATTTTGAAACATAGCACCACTTACAAGGCAGAGGGAACTGATGAGCTTAATTGTAGATCCCACAGGGAGATTTCAACCCAGTTGCCACCATTCAACATGAAGTTGCTAATCCAGGCTTATTACCTAGTCAGTAAAGAGAGGCATTTTTTCTTCAAAGAGGTATTAGAGGTGGATGAAAAATTGATCTCTGAAGGTGGGTGCATATTTTCACTCAGTGGAGAAGAAGCCCCACTGTGATTCATTTAGGTAATTTGTCTAGCTCTGAGATGCCTAAAGCTACCTGGGATTAATCCTGCCTTGCTGCATGACTGGTAGTGATGGCTGCAAGAGACCTCAGGTGAGAACTATGAGGGGAGCTGGGAGAAAACAGTTTTGTCTCATCAGAAAAGTATTCAGTATCAAACATTTTGGAATCTGATGAGGTTTGGATTCCATTTGGCTTTCACCAAACAAATTGTAGGCCTCACTGTGCATTTCAACTAGTAAACAGAATGCACAGAAATAGTTTCTGCTTAATAAGAACTGTATGTGTTCAAAATTTATTTTTCATTGAATACATTCAGTAACTTAACTGAAGAAACTAAAGTTTTAGATAAATTTCTGCACTGTCTGATGAGCCTTTGCATAAATAGTATTTCATTGCTCCCTGTGGTAATTTATTGATTAATAAGGTCAAGTCCTAAATATTTTCATTTTTTGGACTAAAACATTATGTTAGATATTTCAATTACCAAAGTGCCTGAAGTCTTGGATCTAAAGACATCTTGACTTTGAGTAGATCTGAAATACAATCTCCAGTGATTTTCAAGTTTTCTAATACTTGAACTTGCTCAAATCAGAAGACTTCATCCCAAATGTTTGGAAAAATTACAAGAGGTTATATTTTAGATCCATTCAGTGTTGTGATATGCCAAAACAGGAATATACTTTACTGTTATAAAAGTACACAGTTAATGGACAATCTCTAGAGATTCGCAGTAGAAAGATTAAAACATGTAGCTGAGCATCAGTGATTCAGAGTACATCAGAGGATGCCATTATATACAGTCATGTTAGTTACATGGCAAACATCTCTCTAAAATGATAAATACATATATTTTTTCCAAAATTCTGATATGCATTTTGTCCATTTATTTTCATATCTTTTGTAAAAGAAGTACTTGGGCGTGAGAAGAAATAATAGAAAGAAGCAGACATGTCAGATACTTAGGTTAGTAAGAAAAATGTTACTTGACAATGTCAGAGAAACTGGAACTAAAGCTAAAGCTAAAACTCATAAGAAAGAAAGAAAGAAAGAAAGAAAGAAAGAAAGAAAGAAAGAAAGAAAGAAAGAAAGAAAGAAAGAAAGAAAGAAAGAAAGAAAGAAAGAAAGAAAGAAAGAAAGAAAGAAAGAAAGAAAGAAAGAAAGAAAGAAAGAAAGAAAGAAAGAAAGAAAGAAAGAAAGAAAGAAAGAAAGAAAGAAAGAAAGAAAGAAAGAAAGAAAGAAAGAAAGAAAGAAAGAAAGAAAGAAAGAAAGAAAGAAAGAAAGAAAGAAAGAAAGAAAGAAAGAAAGAAAGAAAGAAAGAAAGAAAGAAAGAGAAAAGAAAGAGAAAAAGAAAGACATGCAGCTAATTAGGTGAATATACTGTCGGCACTAACCTGAATTTAGAAATTTTATTTGCCAAGTGTCTAAATCTGATAATGATGTGAATTCTGCAAGTTGGTGTATAGTCATCAATTACCAGGTACATCTTAAGCTGTTCAATGCCTGCATTCTTGTGAGAAAAAGAGGAATGATTCCAAACAGTAAAGGTCAAGAATAACAGTAAAAAATGCATGTAGTGTTAAATAACCATTCATGGTATGTACATGCACACAGGATGTGTGCTATAGGTATAGTGTACATAGCACATCAGGCAGGTGTGTATTGACTCTCTGAACTGAAATCCTATCATGTGCTGCTCTGTATGCTGCTAAATTAGAATGTTAATACTATAGCAGCCAGAGAGGAGGCCAGAGGAAATAACTTTATTCAAACAATATGAAGCACCCAAAGATCATGATACCCCAGACTCCTGGTGTATCAGCCCCTCTGACACAGGGGGATGTGGGCTCCCAGAGCCAGGGACTGCAGGCGGCCTCAGCAGCCACACGGACACAGTGGTAATTTTTTGATTAATAAGGTCAAGTCCTAAATATTTTCATTTTTTGGACTAAAACATTATGTTAAATATTTCAATTACCAAAGTGCCTGAAGTCTTGGATCTAAAGATATCTTGACAGTGTGGGCAGAAGGACCAGCTGAGCCTGGTGACATCACACAGGCTGAGGAGAAATTGCTCTTCTGGACCTTAGGAAACTACATCACCCCCAGGCAGCTGTAGGTGAGCAAAGCACTGGAATAAGTCTCTCATCTGAGGCTTCAAATTTGCTTTGCATGTCTTGGTCGGTAGCCAGGATAAAAAATGTTTTACAATCTACTCAGTGCAGACTGCAGAGCTGGGCATCCAGAACAGCTCCCAAGGCAGGTCCTCTCAACAGGACTCATATTCTTGAGTATAGGCCAAGTGTGTGGCCATGTATATATTACCAACATGAGACCAAGAACTGCTTGAGAGGAAACTGAAGAAAGAAAATATGTTTCAGCTATGGCTGCAGGCACCAGTGGCTACCTAGAGACTGTTGAAATTTCAAGTGTACAAGAAAGTCTGAATGCTTCAAGAATCACATGCTGACCCCAAACACTAAGTTCCTTTGTTAACTTGGCTTTTTAAAGGAAAACATATCAAGAAGATACTAGCAGGCTGTATTTCATATTTAGAAGTGGATTTCATCAGTCCTACAAGAAATCTTGTTTTCTACAGTATTAACCTCATATTTTTACTCTTGGCTTGTTCAAAGCTCTTATTTTTAATAATGAGGCACTAACAAATGATGCTACCTAACATTTAGGGCCAGAATTATGAATCCTTCAGCAAAGAAATAGCGTAGTCTTTTCTCTCCATTGACATACAAAAATGTGCTCACAAACTCTGAACCAAATTTCACTGTTCTCTGTGCTCACCAGGAGGAGATGTGTCTGCCCCCACTGATTCTGCTCAGTACATCCAGTCAGTCACAAGGAAATAGACATGGAGAGGCTTTGGGAGCTGTAGGTGGACAATCAGGGGGTATAAGTGGTCTCTTCGTAGTCACTGCCTCTGCTGTAATTCCTGCAGCATAACAATGTCTTACTTTGGGACTTAGGACTGTCTTTTTTTCACTTGGTACCCTTTTCTGCTTTGTATTTTACACAATCTGTGCTGTTCTTGCAGCTCTCCTAAAGTGAAGAATCAAAGATACACTGTTCCTTCATGTTTCTCCCTCATGTCTTCTCTGTGGTTCAACAACATTTTTCTCTCTTTTTCTGTGTTTTGAGCAGAGTTGGGGCATAGCAGAGCTGAAGCTCAGCTTCTTTCTAAACCCTCTTGGTTGCCCTTATTTTCTGTTGAAAAAAAAAGAATATTTTTGGTATTTTTCTTTCCTTTTCTTTATGAACTAAGCTGTATACAACTGACCATTATTTTTCTTACCTAACAAGTTCTAAGAACAAACCAAAGCAACAAAAAACTCTTTAGTCCTTTATCTTCCATACTAATAGATGAAATCTTCCTCCTCTGTGACTCTGTATGATTTCCCATTTTTCCTCTTAATCCATATA